GCAGATTACAAACAATAGAACATATATGTCATATCATTCCGTTTATCTGTATACATACACACACCCCAACATTCTTTGGTCATTGTAAAGCAAAATGCTTTTTAGACCAATATAACCTTGATTTACCTTGGTTTACCTTGATTGGTCACGATGCTCTTTAGCCGCTCGCGGTCAAACTATTGGCTGTTCAACCACTAGCCTGAAGGTCTAACGTTTGAAAGTCGCTGAGTTTTATGAGATGCGCACTGGTAGTGAGTTCAAACAAGGTTGAGGCCGTAGTACAGTGATTCAGCATAGATTGGCTTTGCTGACGGAAAGAAATCTCCATCAGAGACTGCCAAATCTGTTCAAATCACCATCAAACGGGCAATATGCCAGCCACAAAGCTGGTGATTTGCCACTCAAAAACGAACATTACTCTGGCTGTATCCTAATCGGTTAAATTTAAGACTTAAAAATGGCTCCAAGCATGACTCTAAATATGGAATTTGCCCTGAAAGCATCCTTGATTTGATTTTAATTTATTTGAAAAGAAAACCATATTTACTGTTCCTAGCCACTTCAGTTCTTCCATGGAACCAGCTCTTCCAAAAATAAATTCCGAATCTGGCGGCAAAATTCTTCAGATAGTACGTAGAAAAATTCCTTGACTCCGTGTCCTGCTGCTTCAGGAATGCTGAGTGAAGGGGGACATCATCCTGGTTGAAAGCACTTTTTAAGCTTTCAGAAATGCTCTCTATGAGTATAGCAGGACATATTCAAAGAACATGATAAGGTATAAGATTCGCACAACATTACCGTTTGTCAGGACTTTTGGTCTCTCATGAAACTAGACCTGTAGTCGGGCATTATTTGAAGTCGATAGCCTGAAACACGACTGACCCGTAGCTGCCAGAGTATCTCCTAGTTCATCCAACCGGGCCCTTTATTGCTTAATTTTTGGACGCACCGCTATTCGGCAGTCTCCACAGATATGCGACAAGGTTCATGCTGACTGCGGATGATGTGACCTTGGACGACGAACGTTTAGTGTGCTCGAGTGTCTCGGTATGACATGCTGTCTAAAGAATTTTTGTTTGATTTCCATTAGCCATGTGTGGCTACAAAACATGGCTGCAGGTTATCGCCAATGGAGCAATTGATTTCCATATTTGTTCCTTCGGCATTTGAACAACACAAAGAGAGACTGTGCTATACTAATATACCTAGATCGAGTCGTTTGTATTTGAAATACTCGCTAATGCCAGTTTGCTCTCATTGACACGAGTAACTTTAGGCTGAAAGTCACAAAATCAAAAAGTTCAGCAGGAACGCTTGGTCATCACAATTTTCATCTTCCTCATCTGTTTCGTGCAGTGATCATGTGACCTGCAGAATCGTTCATCTCAGCTATCGATTAGGATATTGCTTAACCTGTGAGTATTCGGGCTGCGTACCATGGTTGCACACTAACCTGAAGATAATGGACTTACCAGCTGGACAGAAGGAAGGAGATATCTTCTGCTCGGCAAGCCCTACGAGTGCTCCGTAGCCCACCGTAAAAAATGACACTTTGAAAGCTACAACAAGATAAACTCATCGAATGATGTATCGTTTCTGGGGTCAGTGCGCGCGTTGAGTTATTGTGGATGACATGTGGACTTCCACACCCGAAAGCATCATCTTGATGGATCGTCATCTAGGTGACAGACAAGAGGTTTACTCAATCAAAACTCTGGACATTTTAATGTGACTTCAAATAGCATGGCTACCAGCTCTCGCTAGTGAATTTTTAGATTTGATCAGGCAAATGATTTGGAGCTTTCCAAAATCGTATTCAGTGACGTTGTTCTAAATGTGCAATGTTAGCTCCCCGAGGATGAACTGTGGGGTAACTCTTCTAAAACGAACTTTATTGCAGTGTCTCCGCTCAAAGGAAACTTTTTGAAGGCACGCTAAAACGCATCCTTGCACGGGAAGGTCATTTTACAACAACTTTTCAAAACCATACTGAATGCTTTTCAAGAGCAAGGATGTTTTAGAAAGGTTTGTGTGTAACCTGCTGTAAGAAGAAGGGAGAAAACGGTCTAACTGTAGCGACCTGTCGGTGAATAGCTGCCATGCCCACCTTCCCCGGGAGCAAACACTAGGGCCAAAGTAATGTCAGAATAGCCAAACGTAGAAAAAAGCAGTCGTGATTCAGACGTCAGATTCGAACCAAAAATCTTACGATCAGTTCTTTCAAGCTTGAAATACCGATCCATATCGCGCACGGCTTTCATAAACTATATCAGTCTTTCTCAAATTGAGCGACTGTAATGTAAGCATTAAACTGAGAAAGTTGTAAAGAGGTGGACAGCTTTCTCGTCAACTTACCAAACTTTAACTAAAATCAGAAACTTCTAGCAATTTCTACAATGATTTCCTGTGTATCTGGAAGTCACTCACGCTTGACCACCCATCACACATCCTTATCAGTACTGACACGTACCATCTATTCATCCATCTAGCGGAACGACTGCGAAGCTCATGTAAATCGCGAGGGCAAAAGGAAACAAAGTGGCCTGGACACTCAAAGTGAAAGAGCCTTTCTGCGGAGTCAGATGGCCAGTCTCAGACGTGTCTCTGTGCTTACGCCGTGTGCGCCCGAATTCTTCACTTCAAGATCACAGTAGTCCCGCTCATTTGTTTGTGTTACTTTCACCTTCAAATTCGCTTATCAGAACAGCTCGTAGTTCACACTGATTTGTCCAATCCTTGATTTTTGAATGATCATCCGTACGACACCAAATTTATTGGTAATGCAGATGGACTAAGGTTGTACAGGATCACCAATAGAAAACGTTTGCTCTGGGACCGATGAGAATCTTACAGGTTGAGAGAACCAGATATAAAAAAAGTCACTTGATAGGGACGCAGATCATGGTGAGATAAAGACTTCAAAAATATCAATCCCCATTTTTATTTGTTACGACTGGAATGGTGCCTTTTATGGTATTATGAGCAGGTCAAGGGTTGCTGTGTTACCATACAAACATGACTGGTTAGCAGCTGGAGTGAAATCTGTGGATGACGAATCATAAACGGCCATAAAGAATGTAGGATTCGAGGAATACACCAGTTGGCAAATCAATTTGGTTTTCACGAAGTGTTTTGAGCAACCTTGTGAGTAGTTTCCTTTATGAAAATATGCTGCGATATTTCGAGTATCGTGCCAACTGAATCATGAGGCGGCCTGTGTGCAGCAAATTAAGCTGCAGAATATCATGAACGAGAGTTTCCGTTGAGTCTCTCGTGGAAACCAAATTGACTTGCAAATTAATATATTTCTCGAAAACAGTTCAATTTGGGTTCAAGTAGAGCACAAGGTTGACGGAAACTCGGGGACTGCGCCTACCTGATGAGCCCGAACTGGAAGGGCGAAACCGGTCGTGGGCTGTCGAAGAGTTTTCGGCAACCTTGTGAGTAGTTTCGTTTGTGAAAATGTCGGATTCGATTCAGTGGTGAATGCTACGACTGTTGACTGCATTCATACACGCTTTAGTGGCACATTCGCACCCTCTATATGAATAACTTTATGACGATACTCCCATACGAAGTAAAGTGGGGGGACCGGTTGATATGAATAAAAGTTGTTCTTCCTAATGAACGGCTTAACATTTTCAAGATAAAATTCCGAGTTTGAAAATGGTATGAAGAGGATAGTCTCACAAATTGTAATAAGTAGTCCAGTTGGGTGATCGAACTGAACATTCGCCGTTCTTGTCTCATGTATCTCCAAATGAAAGCCGTACCGCAGTTTAGAGTTTCGGTGTAAAAAGAAACTTCAGGACAACTGACGGTTTTCGTCTATTTCGCGCAAATATTTTGCATTCAGATATTCAGTTTGTTGAAAGAAGACAAATCCTGAGTTCTGATGCAATGGGTTCCAGGGTTTTGAAGGTCAGAGTACAAAAACTATTTGTTAATAAGACGTTGACTCTAATCGTCCTGTCATCCTAACGGAAGAGTTTTCGGGTACTGCGCCGAGCCTCGGCAGTTTCCTCGAGGTTTACGAGAACTCGATTGCCTGTTTTGACCCAGGTATCATAAGTTCACCTGCGCAAAAAAGTTCCGTATTGATATTCAAGCTCAAATGACCGCCAGCAACCGTGTACCAAAAAGAACCTACGATTATGTGTCCATTGGCAGTACTTGTCGTAAATGATTTCAGGAACGCACACCACTCTGACGTAACGTCGTGTCGTTCAGGGTCCTTGAAGTCATCTTCGATTCATCAAGCAACCATCAGCTTATCATCATTGTTTGAATGTTTTTATTCGTTGACTAGTTCCATTGGTTGGTTAAACGAGACACTATACCCGATACTAATTGGTTAGATGATGATACTCAAGTATTTTGGAATTTGATGGGCCAATAAAAACAATAATCTTTCGATGGCAGAGTGTGAAGTGAGAACTAAGTTGAGGAGTCGAGTTTTTTAAACGATAGGGTTTTCCTAGTGTTGGACGGGCTAGTAAAAGTTGAAAATGTGTATTCTGATTACTTTGCTCTATGTTATGCATTACTACTTGAATGGTATTGAAGCCATCGAGTAAGTTAAACGTTTCTAGTGACGAACCTACCCAAAAAAGACTTTCGGGAGATCGATTTTTAGGAAATGCTACAAAAATTCTACGAAGGGAGACGAACCTAGTTCCATTTTTTCTCGGAAGCGATGTAGTTTTGTTTGCATTGTTTACCTCGTGATTAGCTCTGTCCTTTTTTTACAGTAGCCATCGGGTCAAACCGACAATTGTTCAGAATGTTTTTGCACATTGGAGCACCAATTACGTGGGTTGCGGCAAAGGATTCTGATATTCCTAACTGGGAAACACGTGAGAAGTTCGACCCGAAAGAATCAGTCACCGGGCATCAGTTGAGAAAGTTCTTTGATTATAACTATGGAGAGTGTCACGTAGTCGGGAATATTGTACGAGACACACTGGAAGTGAGTCACATATATATATAAACTGAAACTTATGGATGCACTCCAGATTGGTGGGATAGACCTCGAACGAATTCAGTTTGGTTTGATCACCCACGCTTTGAATTCGCATTTGTTGACTGAAGATGCGGACGGCTTCCTCGGACTGGGACCCCAGGCTTCTAGAACCAATTTTGAGCGCACATTTATGGATTATATGGCCGATCAAAAGCTCTTCGGGTGTCGGAGATTCGGATTTATATTCAACAAGTTAGTTGTCTTCGTTATTAAAATATCCTAATCGTTCGTTCATTTGTTCACTCGCTGGTCAACTCAATTTAAATATTCCTTCTGTCTGACATTCAGTTCGTCTTCAACATACCTTGCTGACCAAATACAATTATCCGGAAATAGCATATGCTGTTAAACTTTCGAAAGTATACTACTGAAGGGTCTGAGTAGTACGGGAGTACAAAAAACTACCGGTTACGCCTTGTCTAGGGCTCATCAGGCAGACGTTGTATCCGGAAGCATTTTTGGTAATGTATTCGCCAGTAGGCCAATGTGTGTGTACTGTGATGAAGGAATTCACTACCATACAAATGTAAACCATTGGTGTTTCACGTGATCCAAGTAACATTTCTGACGAGAGGCTTGCATCCAATTTGATGCATTGACTGACTGAACCCCGTAAGACTAATAGTAATAGAATATATGGACCTAAACAGAGGCAGTCGAGGTGATGTGTTGGAAACTGAAGGACGGCTAGACACTTACATGTGAGGTGCGCGTAGTTGTGTGGTAGATGATTTTTTCTGAGTGTTCCGTTTAAAACAAACCTTTCCAAAGCAAATAATATTAAAAATGCTTTGTAATAATATTTCAGTGGGGTGGAGGGCGCCGGCTACATTGCTTTCGGTAATGACGTCGAGACACACATCAAAGGGGAGCTGGTTTTTGTGGACTCTACAAGTGTTACGAATTGGCAAACTGAGCTTACCAAGTAAGTGGTTTAGGTTTCCGTTTAAACAAATTTTGGGATTATGCACGAGTACAAACATTTGTGTTTCTTTCGTCTGTTTACTCTCTTGTCTTGTAGGATCATGGTAGGAGAGCATACTGTGTACGTCGGTGCTCGGGCTACCCTCTTCGACACACTTTATAAATCTGTCGTGTTACCCAGCGAGGTCGCGAAGAAAATCAACGAATTGCTCGAGCCCACAGGTAGTGTCGGGCCTTTCACAGTCATGGACTGTGAAATGAAACAAGGCTTACCTGATATCACGTTCGCATTTGGAAGTACGCAACTTGTTCTCAAAAGCCATCAGTATTTGGCCCGGGTAACGACCTCTGTTTCTTGAATCTGTCCATTTTAGTTCTGCCCACTAGAATGATAGGTTCCTAATCAATTCACGTTCCAACTTCATTCGATTTGATTGCAGATTGAGAAAGATGGCCGGGACTATTGTGTGAATATATTCGCAGAGGCCGATCCAACAGCCTTCCCGTCCGCCATAATGGGAATGAGTTTCATTTCGAAATTTGACACTTTGTTCGATTTGGACCTAATGAGGATTGGATTTGCGTCATTGGGCCGATGAAAACATCCAAATTAAAGAACAACGCTTAGTGCATCGTTTTGTCTCATTTCTTTGGTTAAAATAAAAACCTTCGCGCTAGGACTTTGGATGTGGAATACTCAACAGTCTACTGGAGCACTGGGCAGCAAACTTCCGGCAGTGAGTGATTATTGGTATGTAAAAGTTTGGGTCAGAGACGAACCGATTCAGGTAAAAATACAAATTTCAACGAACGGATGCAGTAAATAATCGAAAATCAAATCGTTCAAATATTGCATCCTTTCGGTGCATAACTGCGATGCTACCAGAAGGAGGCACGAGGGCTGGGATTCTGCCGGGGTCCCCAAGCCTAGACGTGGGACGTTGGGACGCGAAGGTCGGGTTCGAACCCCGAACCTTCCGATCAGTACATCTGCTCTCTAACCACTCTGCCATCCCCTCCCAGAAATAGAGCAAATAATCCATATTTACACTGGATTTTATCATATCGAAAGTCTCAGGGGTATGAACCAGAAACACTGTGTAAAAGAACAGATTATGAATGGCTGAATAGAACTCAAGCCAGAATGGATGAGTTTGAGAGCCTGAATATTTAAAACTTTGCTTTATTTCTTGGCGTAAATGGGGCTTGAAGATCCCTAACATTCCGCAGCCATACGTGAGGTGTACATTAAAGTCAAATGAAAACCAATTAATTTGGTAATTAGACAATACAAAGCTGATATAGCAAGGAGAACGTAAGATTTAACTGAAAATTGAAGACTACGTCCACTTGCTGAGCATCAAGAAGGGCGAAACCGGTCGTGAACTGTTGAATAGTTTTCAGCGTAGTGCATTACGAAAATACGTGTATGTCGATTAGTGGCAACTGGAACATGAGGTGGTCTGATGCAACACATTCAGTTGCTTGGAAACATCACAAATGAGAGATTCGGCTGGGTTCCAGGTAAGTCTCTCGCGAAACCAAGTATTTTTACGTGATTGAACAAACCCAAATTAGTTTGCAAATGAGTGATTATTCGCTAATTTCGTGCAGTTTGGTTTAAAGTATAACATAAGGTTGACGGAAACTCGGGGACTTCGCTTACGTGATGAACCCCAAGAAGAGCTTGGGCTACCGAGGAAATTTCACCAACCGTATGAGTAGTGTATTACCTCTACACATGTATCGAGCTATCTCGAATGTCGTACCAAATGAAACATTAGGGCGGCCTGGTGTAGCACGACCAATTGCTAAAAAGCATCATAAACAAGGGATTCCGCTGTGTTCCAGGTGAGTCTCCCGCAAAGCCAAATTTGTTTGCAAATGAGTGTATTCTACTGACATGGCATTTGTTAAATCACACGTCCCAAGGGGTTTCCATCTCCATGCTTGAAGAACGTAGAAACGAATAGAGTAAGGGGCCTTCGTGGCACTCGTTTCTACATCACGTGTTTTTATATCACTTTGCTGAATCACAAAAGGGTTGTAGTCTAAACTGAACTTTTACTATCAGTGGTGGCTAGGTTTTTGGGTTACCTACCTAAAGTTTAGCCTTACTTGTCTTGCTCAGTTGAACCCATTTGCACTCCGCGTTCATGTTAACTGAAGACGTACTTTAATCTCAGATAGTTCGTCTGTTCATGATACTTGCCAACTGAACCTCCCGCACAAAGACAACAGCATGTATTGTTGGAAGTTTGTTTCCTTGAGAGGTTGGTGAAAAAAGTTTGGAACCCCACGACCTGTTTCGGCTGATTTTGTTGATTTTTCTTTCGATTCGATTTGGTTTCAGTGTCGTTTACTCAAATGAATTCATGACAACTCCTCGGGCGTTTACTCCAGAGTCCGTGCTGACCAGGGCCTACCATGGTTTACTCTAAATTAAGTAGTGAAAATTTCTTCGCAATCCACTACTCATAGGGTTGTTGAAAATTCGACAGCCCACGACGGATTTCGGCCATCATGTGGCTCATCAGGTAGGTCCAGTCCTCGAGTCTCCATTAACCTTATGTTCTACATGAAACCAAATTGCACAAGATTAGTGAAATACACTCATTTTTAAACAAATCTGGTTTTGCGAGAGACTTACTTGAAACCCAACTGAATCTCTCGTTTTTTGATGTTTCCAGGCGTAGATCTATCACAGACGAGAGATTAAGCTTGGTTCTAGGTGAGTTTCTCGCGAAACCAAATTTGTTTGCAAATGAGTGCAGTTCGCTAATTTCGTACAGTTTGGTTTCAACTAGAACATAAGGTTGACGGAAAACTGGGGACTACGCCTATATGATGGGTCCCAAGAAGGGCGAAAAGGGTCGTGGGCTTTCGGAGAGTTTTCAGCAACCTTATGAGTAGTGTAATACGTCTGATCGCACTGTTGTTCAGCCGCTCGAGGTCCGATTGTCGCGGATTCCAAACTCTCTGATTTTCGTGATCAAAGTGCGTTAGCATTGGTATTCTAGCTTTTGAGCAAACAAACTAGTACTCTGGCACTTAGGTGTGACTTAGAGATAATCTGACATTGCAACATATGATTGTGGTTGACGAGCATCTCCTGACGACAATCTTGGTGTTTCGGTTATTCGCTTGCTGCATTCATAACTACAAAAGCTCTCGTCTTCAATGAGGAACTGAAATTCTTTCATTTTAATCAAGTAATGGTAACGCCATTCACTATGTCACTCTACGAAAGCTGCAGTAACCGCTTCTTCCTTCCGTTGTTAACTAAACACCTCAACTGAATAATTTCCCACCTTTTTCGCTTGGTAGGTAATCAGCTTTCTTACTGCTGAGTTCTTCATCCAAAGCAAATGCGCTGGTGGTTGGCTGCATCTGTTGCCCACCTGAAGCTACAGGCTTAACTGGGCGGAGCTGCTGGCCGTTCCGGCAAGTGCTGTCTTGAACTGAATGTTCCAAAATGCCAAGATATTATAGTTTCCTTTATCTCCGGTTCACGTTTTATGATAGCTCTTAAGCCTAAGATATTTTCAATATTCGTTTCCACAGAACTGTGAAATATTTGGATGTGATCAAATCAAGTAATCCTATCTGGTCCTCCTCATATCCAAGCAAGCTTTGTAGAAGTTCGACGTCCAGTCTCTCGCACGGTTTGGTGCCATCCCTTCATGGGTTTATTAGTGTATGTAGTTTCACCCACTTAATCTGTTTTTCCCCCGTCCTTCTCCCGGGAGTTCTCGGAAAGCTGTGTCAGCGTACTCCCGTGTCACAAGGACATTAGTCCTTCTAGATGCGCCAGACTTCAGAAACGTGTTGAATCTTCTTTTCGAGAATCATGAGACGGTCTGCGTACAGCACATTCAGTTGTGGAGTATCATAAACGAGAGTTTCAGTTGAGTCTCTCGTGAAGACCAAATTGATTTGCAAATGGGTGTACCTCTCGAAAACAGTTCAATTTGTGTTCAGGTAGAACATGAGTTTGACAGAAGCTCGGGGACTGCGCCTACCTGATGATCCCGAACTCGAAGGACGAAACCGATCGTGGGCTGTCGAAGAGTTTTCAGCAAAGTTGTGAGTAGTTACCTTTATGAAAATCGTGAGGCGGCCTGTGTGCAGCACATTCAGTTGTAGACTATCGTAAACGAGAGATTCAGTTGAGTCTCTGGTGAAAAACAAATTGATATGCAAATGAGTGTATTTCTCAAAGTTTTCAAGTTGCTGTTTGTGAGTTGTTAGGGAACTGGTCCATGTTTTCGGCATGGTTCGAAATGTCTCTCTTCGTAAAACAGCCCATTGTTGTGGTTTTCCTTTTAAGGGCAACAAACTTCACACCTCCGTTAAGTCTAAAGTTAATAGACTACAGTAAATAACTTGTTCGTTTTGTTATTCAGTTGAAATTGCTCCTATTTGATCTAAATAATTCACTTACAGTTAAAGAAACCGTCTGAGCTGAATATCGAAGCATCCGCTTGCTGCGTAAATTGTCCCTACTAGACAGTTTTATCGCAGGCTCTGTTCAGTTCTCTGTCCTTACCAAGGAATTCGCGGTGTTTGTGAATATCTATTACAAATTCGCTTGTCGGTGATGAGGTACTCCACACGTTTACTCTACACATCACGGTATACGACTAAGGCACGCTGTCCTCAAGCTCCTCAAGCAATCCGCGGAAAGTTCAAGATGTCCCCTGGCTAACGCTAAAATCGCGGCCCACCAGAAGTAACGGTCTTAGAGGTAATAAGCTTCCACTCGAGTGTTTACACGATCAGGTCGTATGACTGACCTTGGCACTTCAACCCATATAACCAACACGAAAATTCAAACGATGAGGACATCTCTGAGAGAGTGATCACTGATTTGTAGTGGTCATTCCTAAAGTAGAATGACTGCTTATGTGAAAAGTTGCTCCTTAACGCTTTCGCTGGACTGTTCGTGAATATTGGAAAACATCACAGTGATTTGGAGGCGTTTTCCAAGTTACATGTTAGTTACAAATTACAAGTGAGAATGGCTTCCTGTCTTCTACCTGAAACAAGTTGATACTTCCACCCTGATGGCGCGCTCACAACAAGTTAACGTGATATCGAATACTCTAGGGCTGTTTGTCTTTGAATGTAAAACAAGATCAAAACATGTACATAATTGCCCTTGGAAGCAGCCATATGTGACAGCCAAGAAAGTGACTTATTCCGTCGCTTCAGAAGGTCTCAGGTAATATACACTACGCAGTTAGTTCCTTTATCATCTGATTCGTTTAATGATACCATTTGCACGAGTGGCTGATCAGCAGCTGATCAGCCGTCGCTCTTAAACAGGATGTGACGCCACTTGCCCTTCACTCAATGAATCTGTCACGTGGTCACGTGGTCATATGTTGACTGGCCCCTCCATGGTTTTCATCGGAGAGCATCCCTCTGTTTGTTGTAATGTCATTCGTTTTGATTGTGCACCAACTGATGTTGGTCGTGCTGAACAATGTAGACGCTTCCACAAGAGTAAGGATAGTACCAGGCTGGCAGGCAAAAGAGAACACAGTTCGGTTCAAATAAATTTGCTTTTCTCTGTTTTCTGAGTCAGCTTGTATTA